CAAGAAATGTGTTTATGATAAAAAACAACAGATACATTTAAAATATGTTTTCCCCAGTGCTGGATTCACCTGTGGCAGGGAACAGAGATAATGAGCTCAGGGAAATGATGAACAGGATTGGCTGCTCTGGGGATACTGAGAGCCCTCTGAGAGACAGAGGAGTTCTCCTGTAGCTTTCAGTGTTCAGCTCTGCACATCACAGGGTGATGGTCCAGGGGTGCACCCTGAATTCACAGCCAAGATGCAGAAAATCAATCCCTGTTAATAAAAAAAGGCAGCTCACTGGTGCAGAAAATCACTGCTCTGGAGCCTTAACGAGGCTCCTTCAAAAATTCATGATTATAAAATGGAATCCTGGGCTGCATTATAGTCCTGAAAGAAACTGGGATATGGAGGGAAAAAAATCCAATTTTCATTAAGTGGAGGAAATAAAGGATAAATCCCATATGCAGACATAGTCATTGATCACAAGGAATATAATTACATGGTCAAATGTAAGAATATTCTCCAAGTTTCCCAAATACACAATGATTTTGCTGAATACTTTTCAAAGTTATTTTTTCTTTTCTTGCTGTTTACTCATGCCTTTAGCTGCAGGTCCATCTGAACAATATTTGTGATTGTTGTAATCAACTGTTGTAGGGTATCTGCAGGATATTCAACATGAAAGACACTGCACAAAGCAGTCTTGACCCCATGACTTGAGGAATTTGCTGATGGTACCCACAATGCCAATTCAGAATGTGTAAATAGCAGAGAAAAAACATCTTCATCCTCCTCCTGTGTCCTGTGCCATTCCAGCCAGAGGTGCTGTGATGTGACACCAAATCCCTTCCTCACGAGCAGCTTTCCATTTTCTGCTGCTGGGGAGTCTCAGTTCCTGCACAGAGTCATTCCTGCACAGAATAATTAATCTGCAGTCCTGCAGCGTGGGTGGGAGGATGGCTGATCATTCCCATGGGTTTTGGCTTCAGACATGTCTCCTGCACAAATAGAGCAGGAACAGTTCCAGCTCTGCTCTAATGGTATTTCAGCTTTCATTGGCATTCCTGTAATGCAGCCTGAATTTTTTTAGATATAATCTGGTCATCTGCCTGGAAATGCAGCCACTCTCAGTGTGTGCCACGAGGCCTTTTTACCGATTATCATACAACAAATTATTCTCTTTTAATTATTTTTCACATASTCAGTTCAGCCCCTGGCAGCTCATCTTCCTGCTTACCTGAGCATGGCTGAGTCATGGTGAAAGTGAATCCAGCATTCTTTCACCTTTATTTGTTAATTAATTAATTCATTCATTAATGTTCAGAGGGTGTGTGTGAGGGGTTTGGGTGACTGCAGTTTGCTGCCATGCAGAAGCCATTATCAGTGATTTGGAGGTGAGCAGAGACTGAAATGCTGTTTCACRCAAATAATTAATTTTCATCTCTTTTGTGTAATAATCTATTCCTGACATTGGACTTTCCAGAACTTACTTGGATTATTTTCATTGCAAAGTTGGGCAAAAAGAAGAGCTGAGAGACAGGAAAATACTGGCCTTAGAATTCAACACTTGTAGTTATAAATTTTCCATAGGACTGACTATGTGAGCTGGAAAACACCCGAGTTAATTGGGGCACTCAGCCCTCCTGACTTCAGCGTGCTCTTCCTCAGTTTATTAATAAAGAATTTGCCAGCAGAGATGACACAATGGCCAATTTGCAGTCTCTGCTCTGTRTTTTGGATTGATGTGCTCACAGAGTCCTGTCCACACTCGGTTGGGTTGGCATGTGCACTTGCCAAGCTCAAAAAAGCACATTTTAATTGGAGCCCCCGTGCTGCCATTCCTTATTCASAGCCTCCCTCTGCAGCTCTCCTCCCTGGCTCATTTTGTGACGAAAGGAAAGACACACATTGGATTAAACAAGTGATGGGTGGAACAAACTCTGCTGAAGGTGAGGGGTGTTTGGTATTCAGGAGAGGCAGAGCCCTTCAGCAGCCTGTGCTGTGGGAGCTGTTTGTTGGCAGGACAGGAGGATTCCATTCCACCCTGCAAAACCTTCCTGAAGCTGCAGCTCAGCCTGGGACTGGCARATGTCACCCAGGAGAAGGGGCACAACCTCTGCCAGCCCAGCCAAGGGAATCAGCAGCTCTGCTTTAATGCCCCAAAACCACAGGGAATTTGTCTGGATAAGGGAGCCCCTTAGGGACAGCGTCTCCATTTCTGTTTGGGTGCAGAATCCTCCCCTCTGTAGCTGCTGCTGCTCTCAGGGTGCTCCAGGGGATCTTCCCTGGGATGTTCTTGGGGTGGCTGCCAGGCTG